TCCATCCTCCCCTGTCAGCCTTTTCATTACCTAAGCAGCACTGAATCAAATACTGCAGTCCAGTGGGTGAGATCTACGTGTTTCTTTCACCAAAGAGACTGGGTTATCACATCTAAGAAAGGTAATTGCACAGTTTAGCAGGATCTGGTTTTGAAAGAGACATCTTGCATCTCTCCTATTTTCTACCTCCTTATTATATGTAATTTGGAATTATTCATTCCTCTAAATTTGTTCCAAAGGTTTCGCATTGCAGGTGGTGCCTATCTGGGAGGATGTGTTCYGTGCACTTGCACGCCTTCTTTAGGTAAATCAGATCTGGGATTTTTGCTTGACAGATCTAAATAATATGCTGTGCCTACCTGTGCTTTCATCAGTCTTTAGCACAGTCTGGTTTTAACTCTTAATTTATCGCTTAGGTGAGTGTTTGCCCCTGAAGGTGTAGGCAGATTTCCTTTTCTTTTTTATTTAGGACTTACTGTACAAGCTTTATGTCTTTTCATATTCTTTATAACTTTTACATTGTRCTCTGTGTGAACACTCCATGCCTTCAGGCTCTGGGGGCGAGGGGCTGTAAAATGTACAAAATTGTTGCTTGGCTGACTGTAGAATATAAAAGTAGTGTTTGAAAGGGGAGAGGAAAACAGAGTAGCAGAATATTTCTGCATGGAGTCAGTCGGGTTCTTTGTCTGCTGCAGCACTGCAATTACGACTCAGTATCAGGGAAAACAGGATTTATTTTTTTTCCCTCAGAGGGATACTCTCCCTTTGGAGGACTTTCGGCAGCCTCCGTGCTTAGATGGGCAAGGTTGAGACTGCTGGACAGGCTGTGGAGGAGCCAGGAGAGAAAGGAGATTAAGCAGCCACTCTGGAGCACATTCTCTAATAGCAATAATAATGATTTTTGATCTGTTCATAATATCCATGGGCTGCTACAGAATCTTTGCATKCATTTTTACTGTCCTTTTTGGCTTACCCAGATTCCAGACTGCCCTATTCCCCCACTTCTTGGATCAAAATGACCCCTTTTTCACCAACAACTGAGTGACAGACCAGTGACCCAGATCTTTTCCTTCTCCTTTCTGCCATTTCTTTTCGTGTTTTGGGAGCTCTTGTCATTCTGAACAACAGTAATGCTCTTCACAGTGATCTCCAGGAGCTCTCCCAACATCCCTTCTTTATTCTCCAGCTCACTGGGTGGCAGTGAACATGTGTGTCCCTGAGGATTTGCACATTGCAAGGGCAGAATCCATAAAGTGAGGAAAAACAAAACAATTGTGTAATGCCCAGCTTTCCAGCATAGCAAAGGAAAAGTTTCTTTCAGCCTTCAAGCAACAGCCATTTTGAGACTCGTTTCCACTGCCTGCTCTCCATAGGAGACTGATCTCCATAGGAGATCTCCATAGGAGATGATAAATTCATTTCCAGCTTTCAGCCTGCATCAAGTCTCCCTGGTTCATGGATCAAACATCTGGTGGTATCTCTACAGGTTAGTTGATCCACTGTATTTCATCCACCGCTGGGGGAGAAATTCCTTCACGTTACGTATTTCAGAGCCCTCCTGGGGCATGGCCCAAGATAAGAGAGGGGACGTTGATGAGCCCAGCCTAGTGATTGTGTTTGCACTTTTGCAACCCATCCTCRTCTTGGAGGGTGTGTTCCTCAGTCATGTGAGGAGGCAGCAAAGAAAATACCCATTTGCAAAGGTGAAGGGGAGGTCAGCAAGATGAACGTTGCTATTATTTGCTAGAATGGTGCCTCCCAACGTTCTTCGCAGATAAACATAGGCACTAATTTGGGAAGCTGGGGAAAGAGAGCTCTGGCCCCGTGGCTTTAGAAATACGCTAAAACACTTTGTGCCTCTTCAACTGCATTTCAAATTTCTGCAAACAGGCTAAGATTTCACTAGYGCAGGTATTTATGGGACTGCTCAGGCACACTAACTGACGTTATGAATAGTACTGCCTACTTGAACTTGAAGTACWACTGTCATATACCCAGTCTAATCCACTCTTCTCGCTGCCAGGTACATACAGCAGATATCTGTCATCACCAGCTGTTTCCATCCTGGATCACCCCGTTTTAGCTATTCCCGTTGGTCACTTGCGATGTAGCCTCTTAACTCATTATTGTGTTTCCTGGCATTCCTTGGGATCACTGTCTCTTCTTCCTTCTTCATGCCGAAACGGGGTTTGTTTAAGGACCGAGTTATCTGGCACTCTCAAAACATGGCCAAGGTCAATCCGTCTTCTTCGCTGTACTGTTTGTACAGCTGCGGGTAATCACGCGGGCGCTGAAATCTCAGCACTCCCTCTGTTCGCTGACTGCTTTATGACCACTGTCCCCTACAGGCATCCACGCTGAAGGCACTTGGGCTTTGGGGGCATAGACTTTTCTTCYGGGACTTCAACTTGCACTAGTGTCTGTGTAATGTAATTTTAATTAAGGATGGCTCCTTAAAAACACAGAGCTTACAGAGAAGCTTAGAGTTGATGTTGAGGACTTCCATATAGGATGTATTCCTGTCATGGAAACCGAGGAAGGATTCCATACATTTTAATTTTATATCCTTAGACCAGCAAACAGAGATGTATATGTCTTGTATAGGTATCCTGGAAAATCTCCTGCTTCAAGCTCACTCTATGTTGTGTTACCATTACATAGTCCACAGAAAAAATTAGAGACCATTAATAAAAGTTATAACATTAAAAAGGCATAAAGATTCATGTTTGGTTACTACAGCTTTCTAAACAAATATTGATTCTCTAGGATTTGTTGGTATAAATAGGTTTTCCTGGAGGACAGAAATAAAAAAWTCATGCTGACATTTAAAGATGGGCTTGCAAATGCACATATTAATCCCTTATTACTTTGCTGTCCTGGACCTTAGTACTATGACAGAACTTTAAAATATTCAGTCAGTAATGAATGACAGTAATGAAGTCGTAAGGATTTCAGCTTTTCAGGCTGGAGCTGGCCACAGTGCAGCAGACAGGGAGAACAAGGCCAAAATTCTGGAGATAGATGGTGAAGTAACAGACTATGACCAAGTCACAGCATTTTCAAAGTCATAACATGTGACATGTACTAACATTCTTAGACTAGTATTCCTAGACAAAGTCCTCTCCAACTCATTGTCAATGGACAGGATCTAGAAAGCTGCTGTCCATCTTCTGCTTGTCTTCAGATTGTCTTGATGCAGCTATGCACGGAAAAAGGATTTATCCTTCCATGAGGCCCACCATAAATGCCCCGGGTTTTGTGCCTGGATCCAACCTATCTTTGCCTTTTTCCTGGAAATGAGAAGGCTTATGAACCTGCCATGGCACAGAGTGGGTAAAATATGTTGGTGAGGTATAAAGACGTTGTTCTTGGAGAGCTCACTCTGTTTTCAGAGTATCCGGGTATGAAAAGGCAGCACAAACTCTGCATTGCCATTTAAACAAGTAGTTGAAGCAGAAGAAAAATGGGCGAAAGGAGCAGGTAGGTGTGGGAAGGTATAAAGGTGTGTGGGATGGGACATGGAAGACCACCAATACACCTGGGAGCAGAGAGGTCTGCACACACAGAGACCTCTTCAACACAAACTCCTTCCCTGTAAAATTCTCATGGCATCAATGGGAATAAATCATGTAGAATAAGTGAAGTACCAATAGCTGGTACAAATGCAACTATCTTTACAGCAAGGCAACCAGATCTCCTGCAGTGTAAATAGCTCACGTAGCTGACGTCCAGTCTAAAAAAAGCTCTGTGCTGGGGAAGGGGTCTACCAAGGGGACTGCTGAGTCACCTACAGAGAGACATAGATTCAGACAAATCAAAGAGGGCCCTTGAAACCCATGGTACCAGCAGAGTGCAAGCCCAGGGGACACTTGTTCATCTTTTTTTTTCTTTCTTTTTCTCCCCCTAATCCCAAACATAACCACTCCACATGCATCAGCTGCCAATGTTAGTGTTGCAGAAACCAGAGGGTTTTGCCCTGAAGTGTGTAGGAGGGATGGGTATTTAGTGTGTCTCTCTATCCCGCAGAACAAGGGAAGCTACTCGCTGGGGTTTGGAGTCTGTCATTGGGAGTGGTTTATATGAGGTGWGCACGAAAACTTATGGGAAGAAGGTTTCCCTAACCTGTCATTTCTTGCGTGGGAGTGTTTTGCCCTGAAGCAACCTTAACTGCTTTTTAACAGAACTTGGTGGGAATTGTTAGGAGAGCATTTCTCTGTTTTAACTATCTGGGGCTTGCTGTGCTTTTTGGCCCTACCTATACCGCAGCATAAAATATTCTGTACAGTGGGGATTCTCAAGACTTGATACTCATCTCAATGGTATCCAATTTAAAGAGAATTATTCTTGATTTACATTGGCACGAATGAGTATTTTCCCTATATAATGTGGTATTTTGCCTCTCAGATGTAGACACCAACCTCATTCTGGGATTCCTTTACACGGAGGGTTAACTGCAGATGCATCAGGTTAACTCTTTTGCTAACAGCCATTCCCCCCAAACAACAAACCTGTGGTATTAAGGAGCACCAGGTGGATGAAGTAGAATTTCTCCCTGGCACTGACCAACCAGGGGGTACTGAARGCCGTAGATACAGAAGAGTATCTGAGACTAATTTAGAATGGCCAGGGTCAGATCAGAGACCTCAATATGTTTTAAAAAACTAAGCAAATTATGCTGCTACGYGATTTGATTTACCTGCGCCTGAAGAGTAGAGCACTTTCAGGCTCTCTTGCTTAAGCGACCTCAGTTTTGTGACTCTTGTAGCTAAAGGCCAGTATTTTTCCCTTTGTTTGTGCATGCAGCTGTCACTGCATCAGCACCTTTTCCTAAGTTACACCAAAGCTTAGCTCAAGACCGTGCCGTGTGCCGTGTGTTCTGTCAAGACGATAAAAAAAGCCCAGAGTTTCATCAAGTTGACAGTTCCTCTGTCCAATGGAGGTAGCAAGAAATGTAATGGTATCATATTAGATATAACTTGCAAGGGGACACTGAGAGGGGCATGGAGGAGATGGAGGAGAAAGGTTAGTCTCCGCACTTCAGTTTTACTACATGAAGGGCGCTGATGTTGATGTAGATGCAGAATAAAGATATTCTCACCTTGAATTCCTCCACAGCAATCCTTTCATGTGGTTGTCTCATTAAAATGAAATATTTATGAAATAGCCAGCACACCCACCCAGACACAAGCCAGGCACTCACTGCTCATGTTTAGAAACAAACTTTCCCCATGGGTGCATTATTCATAGCCGGTCACTTGCCAGTTTTCCCTTGGAAGCTATAAACTAAACATTAGGAAAAAGGCAGTGCACAGTAGTGGGGATTTTCATTTTGTTTTGCTTTGTTTTCTCCCTTCAGCTGGACGTTGCAGCAAGCTACTAGGTTCTTTCTGCTTTTCTCTTTCACACTTGCTCATTTACAAGCCAGCTAACTCTGTAGAGCACTTCCCAAATCTCTGTGCCAACACGCTCAAAGGCTGCACCACAGTGTAATAACCCTTGAATGGATCTTGCCACTTCTGAGAGAAGTCCCAAACTCAATGGGTCGAAAGACAATTGTATTTTTCAAACATTTTTTTCCAGGAAAAGAGGAAATTATCCTCTTGATTTACGACTGCCAAAAGACTCGGGGCATCTCCGTTGCCTGAGAAACACAACAGGTTGTTGTTATAACAACCAGCGAGCAGCTGACCTCCCATTTCCCTTCGTCAAGCAGCTGCAGAGGCCCCKGCGGCGCGGCAGCCCCGGGCTGCACCGCGGCCCGCGCCGACGCGAGCCCCGCGACAGCGTCCTTGGCGTGCCGTCACCTCGCTGCGCTCGGCCGCTCSCGGGGAGCCCTCGCGGCCGCGCCGCCTCGCGTGCTCGCGTCGGCACAACGGGGCGCCCGAGGCCCCGCTGCCCCGAGGCGGCCTCGCTCCGGGCCACGCAGGGACGCACGGCAAAGAGAAAACGAAAGGGCACGAGAGGTCCTTTAGAAACAAAGTCCACAGGACTTCTTTCCTGGGAGGGTGGCAGAGCCCTGGCACAGGCTGCCCAGGGAGGCTGTGGAGTCTCCTGCTCTGGAGATCTTCCCAACCCATCTGGATGCCGCCCTGTGCCCCGTGCTCTGGGTGTCCCTGCTGGAGCAGGGGGTTGGACTGGATGATCTCTCGGGTCCCTTCCAACCTCAACCGTTCTGTGATTCTGAGGTCCTTYCATCTCTAGTTGCCCACAGCGCTAGAGCTTTCACAGTGACTTCAGCAGAGGTTTCCAGGCTGGTTGTCTGGACACAGGAGGCAACAGAAAGAAAGAAACCATTTCTGACTGTAGCCTTAAGGAGAGGATCATGATCCCCACAGGTAACTTGGGAATGCTGGATTTTAAACATCTGCCAAAGAGCGACATTAAAAATATTGAGGGTATAAAGSCAGGGTGCTTTCATAGCTCTGCCAAAGCACTAGGCTCCCTTGCGCTTACACCTCTAGGTGCTGCAGTAGCTTCGTGAGCGCGGACCTTGTGTCGGAGCTGCCACCACTGCCCTCGGCTGTGTCAGTAAGGGCTGTCACACTCCGACTTTCCCAGGGAAGGAAAGACTTCATTCGGCACGTCCCTGGGCATCACGTCAAGGTGGCCTCTGACGACGCTGCATCAGAGCAAAGGCCTCGCTTATGGACGTGGTGTGGGAGCATCATCAATGGAGCTGCTTGACCAGAGCAGCAGAACTTGGGAGTAAAATGAACGGAGAAGCTCCTGCCTCCTACAGCTGTTGTTTTCAGTCGCTTTGCCCACTCACAAAGGCACAGATGATATTTGGTCCACCTACTCACGCTCCATGATCGCAACCATGAGCCTTAAAAGAACATTCTTTTCCCTACGAAAGCCGAGTTACTGACCTTGTCCTAGGTTCTGGAGMGCAGCCATACGCAACCCATATGCGGTGTCTCAAGGTGACCTTAAGTCACTGAGAAAACCCTGTTAGCTTGTTGCTGGTTTGTTTGCTTATTTTGCCTGATCCCAAACCTCGTACGCCCAAAGCCTCCCTCCTGTGAACAGTTATTCCCTCACAGTGTGGCTATTCTTCCTTCAMATATAGAGGTATGTGGAGGGGTCATTCTCTTCAGGCATAGACTAGAAAGGGAGAGGGAAAAATAAAAATACCAGGYAGAAGAAATGAGAAGGTATTACAAAAACAAACTAGTTGCCAAYGTGATGCAGCACTACTGCCTTTAAAGGTATTGTTTCAGGACAGCATTTCTTATCCATGAAAGCGCCGCAGTGAGGTCAAGCAAGCTGTCAGGTATTCCCGGGCACATAYAGAGTGTCACTGATCAGTGGAAGAGCAAACCTCGCGGAAACGAGCGCGGGAGGGCAGGGATCCTCAGATCCCGCCGCGTTCCCGCGGCCGCTCTGCAGGACA